CTCCCTCCCTCCCTCTGTCCTTTTTAATCTTTTCTCCCTCCCACCTTCTCCCCTTCACTCCTTCCCTAATTCTTTCCTCCCTCCCTTCCTTCTTTTCTTCCCTTTCACCCCTCCCCTCCTTCCTTCCTTCTTTCCTTCTTCCATATGATTTGACCATATCAGAAACATGATATTTAGATATCTGATATCTGAACACCCATGTTTGTTCCTTGTTAATTCCCGAATGTCTGCATTAGCACTAACTACATTTTTATGACCACTTGTCCTGGTTCAGCTAGGATAGGGTTAAGTTTCCCCAGCAGAGAAGGGGGAAGGGATCTTCAGCCAGGTTATTCATACCATGCTGACATCAGGTCCGAGGTGGCTTTGGTGGCGGGGAGCGAACGGCAGGCTTCTTCCATAACCATTACGGTATTTCTCTGTATATCTTTTGTCTTGCTTACTGTTAATGCTGTTTATTGTTGCTATCATTGCTACTGTTGTTGTTTAGATTGTTTATCACACTGTTGTATTAAATTTCTTCTTATTTCAACCCGGGGTTTGTGCCTCACTTCCAGCCTGATCGGCTGAGGGTGGGGGAGGGGCAACGGCAACGGCAATGTGGTCTCTGGTCCCGGCAGGGCTTAAACCACAATAACAGCAATAACAGTAAGCAAGACAAATGATATACAGAGAAATACCACAAATGTTCATGGAACAGCTCCCCGCCACCAAGACTACCAAGGAAAAAGTAAAAAGTTCCCACGCCGGACCTGAAGTCAGCATGGTATGAATAACCCGGCTGGAGATCCCTTCCCCCCTCTCTCTGCTGGGGAAACCTAACCCTATCCTAGCTGAACCAGGACAATATGTGTTATATGATCAGATAAATTATGCTAAAAAGGTCTACACCAGTCATCATCAACAAAAAGAATATACAAATTTGACTCGGAAATAATTGCTCCCCTAGAAACTTTAATTTACTGATATTTTATATTAAAATTCCTAGATCAGTTTAGAACTTCTCAGAGATTTTTTAAAATCATTATCAGGCTAGTTGAGCTTATGGAACACTACAGCACTTTTTTCCCAGTTCTGCTTCTTTCTGACATACAGTCTCAATTAATTAATTGTAAAAAAAAGAGAATTTCAGTCAACCAATGCATTTGATTAATGAGCAGGAACGTGTTCTAAGAACAAGATTTTCATGTATGCTGAGGGATGATGGTATAGTGTGCTTCTGATGGAGCAGCAGAGAGGAAAAATATAGCAGCAGATGTTACATAATTTGCAATTATCAACCCAGCATAAAACTAGCAAAATCAGAGGCTTATCATATAGCCCAACTCAAAGACACTTGTTTACATTTTCACTAGTTTCTGGTCTTGGATTGTAGATTCCTCAAGGCAGGCCCAAAACTCTTGACAAGAGTTCTTTGTGCATAGTTGTGAGTTTGATTAAAATGCTATCATTTCAGAAATAAAAATAGCCTATTATTAAAATCAGTAGTTAATTGCTTTAAATATTACCTAATCTTCTGTTGGATTGGTTTATTCCCATTTAGAAAGCTTCAAAAAAATCAACATAAAATGTTGTTTTGTTTACTTCTATACAAGACAGATAAGGATGGATATGCTATTTTATTATAAAAATCTGAAAAAATAGTGCATATTACTGGGACTAAAGTTAGATACTGCAACCAAGAGAAAAAACAACTGCAAATAGAAAGTCTAATTAAACTAGTGTTTATTATCAATTTTATTGACATCTAATAAACAAGCAAAACCCTTTATTTACAGCTGAGTTCCTCAAGAGTACAAAATGCACTTCAATAGGAGTTTATGGGAATTCATTAAGCAAGATTCATCCCACTAGTCTGACTTGCAGGTTTTTTACCTTGTTTGCTTTAATGTGTAATATAAGATGAAGTCCTTATCCAGCTAGAAAGGAAATCATAGTAATCATTTAAGAAATGGTGTAAACATCAAGTTCAGCAAAACGATTTTACACACAAAACTCGGCTACCTGTACCTGGTTTGCATGTGTATTACTAAGGAAACTCCCTGCACCTATGTGCATTTTATTGCAAGGAGCTATAGCAAGGACTGTTGCCTTACTGTCCAAAATAAGTCATTCCACCAACAGGAAAATATGGCTTTTTCTCCAAAAACCTTGTATTGCAGTTTTCACTAAATACTCAATGACTTTAGTAATAAGGGCCTTGATAGTTCTTATTTTGAAATGGAAATCAGTATTTGAAACTCTACACAAACTTTGTATATGGAAATTACTGAAGTGGATTGCTGTGGAAAAACAGCTTTAATCAAAAAATCCCAAACAATTTGTCAGTTAATATCCGTGACTGCTACCAGAGAAACAAACACTAAAATTGGCACGTGCATTTTTTTTTTATATACAAAGAAGCAGACAACATACTCCATATATTTAAAATTTTTATTTTCAGTAAAATACTTCTCATTTTACAACAAGCAACTGGATCAAAACATTAATTCTTATCACATTATCAGAAACTAAGAATATGCTTCAATAAGGTAGAAGATAGTTTGAGGTTAGCAGTTTCAGGGAGGGGATGAATGTCTGCTTTGAAATTATTGTAATATTATTAGGAGGGAGAGGAAAGACAACTTGCAACAAAAAGGAGCAGCAATACTGTTTCAGAATTTTAGGATATAAGTAAAATACAAAAATTGAAGCAAATCCTGAAGCAGCATATTAATGCAGAATATTACAGCAAAAGTGCTTTGCCTTTGTGTGATTTGTTGTTTGATTTTTCCAAGTATGAGCCAGACAGCATTAAACCAGCTCAAATTTTAGTCTAGTGCCTTCTATTAGTTCACCATCTGAGGTTCACATGGGCACAGCCTATGTGTATATGTCCTAATGGATGAGGGTAGATATTCCAGCATTTACATATTAAATTTAGTATTTCCAACTTCTGCTGTGCCCATTGTATCTGCTGACTTTTCCCACCTCAAATTTTCTTCTATATCTGTTTATCCTCCAGATCAGATAAACTGTGCTAAAAACAGTCTACGCCAGTCATCATCAAGAAAAAGAATATGCAAAGTTGACTGGGGAATAATTTACTATTGATAAATATTGTGCCCCCTTTTGTATATGATTTTTTCAGCAATTTTTTTTTTTTTTTTAAATGTGCTAGTCACCTCAAGAAACTGGAAGCCAAATTCCAATAGCGGTCAGGAAGAAGTTTTTTATGATGAGGGTGGTCAAACACTGGCTCAAGTTGCCCAGAGAGACAGTAGATGTCCCATCCTCAGAAACATTCAAGGCCAGGTGTGACACCAATCTGAGCAACCTGATCGAGTTGAAGATGTCCCTGCTCATTGCAGGGAGGTTGGACTAGATGACCTTTAAAGGTCCCTTCCAACCCAAATTATTCTCTCTTATTTACATTAGGCAAGTTCAAAGACAGGAAATAAATCACAGAGTTCTCATGCTGTTCTCTGCATGGGTTCTGTGCAAGGAGTTTGAAAGCTAACTCTTACAGAAAGTAATTTTTCAAGAGAAGGCATATCACTAAAAATATCTGCTACTGGATTTTTTTCTTTTCTTTTTATGGAGAGCAGATACAGAAATCTATAAAGACCTAGCACTGTTAACTGAATTCTGTTCTGCCTCCTGAAATGTCAATATGTTGTTTTGAGTTTCAAGGTCAAAACTCTAATTATTGTTTATAGTGATGAAGAACACAAAATCAGAACAGGGCTTACACAGCTTATACTTCAAACAAGCTTTTAAAAGATGATGATGTCACAAAGAGGAGTGCTTTTGTAGAAATGGCAGTATGTGGCTCCATCTTAACAGTATTTCTGCAGGTTTCTAAACTAGTAAAAAGACTACTAGGGGGCAAGGGGAGGAGGGGGAAGCCATCAGTTCTCCCCTACCTGCTACTTCATATTCACTATGACAGAAAATTCATCTACAATTACAGCAGTGATTCACAGTTCTGGTTAATGTAACACATTGTTCTCATCCCCATAGACCACCAGCATAAAATCCAAAGGTTTTGGGAAAGACTGACAATACTTAAGTGAGCAAGACCAGGAAACACTTTCAGTGCAACAAAAGGAGTCAATTCAAAAGTATGCAATTGAATTTCAGTGACAGTCTTCTGTCAGTCTTTCACTGGAGCATAAATACACATTCAAGTAAGAGAAAGACATTTAAATTAAACACACATAAATGCAAAGGTCATGATGCTTATTATAGCACCTGCAAGAGAGGAGGTGTAGAATATGTTTGCTGGTGGTATTTCAATACAAATCAGAAATGCACTGGATTGAGCTTTTCCATTATCTACTTTGATTATCACAGGGTGATTTGGCTCAAAGTCTAATGCTAGATAATAGTCCTTGGGTTTTTATAAAACAAAGTTTCTATTACTAGCCCTGTTGGACAGAAATGTGAAGACCATGGATTGCTTTCCACTTCAGTTACTGGAATGAAACTCCACACCCCTGGGAATATAAAAAAAGCCTGAAATGACCCTGCATTTCTCTGAACATTTCTCCATTTTTCTTAAAGTGGTCCTAAGCAGATGACAAACTGACAGACTGGCACAGCATTATGCCTGGAAGGGAACTGTGTGGATGACTCAGTTGTTTACTGGATAGTTTTAGACTTTCAGAGAGAGAACAAGCACGTGAGCACACAAGTTTCTGAACTGCATCTGCAATAGCTCTTATTTTTCTACTCAACATTTCCTCTCCATTTCTTTCAGTGCTAAATTGTAGCACACTACCCAACATTGACAGCTTTGTTATAAATCAGAGAAATATGGTTCATAATCCTACTCTTCCACAGAAAACAAAAGACCAGCTTCAGCTCACTTGGGAGATTAACAGCTCTGCTAAAATTTCACACTGCCTAAAGACACCTCAGCAGGTCATATGTGGTCTCATTAGGAAAAGAAGGTCCTACTTCAGAACCTTCAAAATCCTCCCAGGAATAGCAGTCACTTCTTTTTAAAAGCTTAAAGTGCATTCATGTGACAACAAAACAAAACAAGCAAACAAACACATCACCAAAAAAAATAAAACCCAAACCAAAACAAACTCAAAACAAAACAGTCCTACTAAGATAGCAATGTTGAAAATGCAGCTGAGACTGCAGTGCTTCAGAGGGCCCTGAATGCCAGCTAAGTAGTTACAGTCCTTTTAATCATCACAGTGTCAGCAACTGTCTTCATTCCTGAGCTTAGCTACAGGTTGTTTTATTTTTTCAGTTCTGTACCAAATCATAAAACAGAACTTCAGTCATCTCTCTTTGCTATGAGAGCACTGGGATTTTGTGAAACTGGAGGAAGATATTATACTATATGCAAGCGTCTGGGAGAAGGCTTACTGATCACTTATTTACAAATTGATGAAATCCCATTGCTGGCGTTTTACTCATTTCTGCAGGGTGTTACAAAGTACAACAAACCACAACAGACCTTAGCTCAACAAGCCCACTAGCTTGGTGCAAGTATCAGTGCAACAGCAAAGACACTTAAATGTAGGAAAGAAAAGACTTCATTCATATATCATTAGCACAGATGCCATGAACTGTTTGTGAACTGTTCACCAGCAGAGTTCTTCAAGGCTGACAAATGTGTGTAGCATGCTGGAGTATATATGAACAGTTGCAGCAGGTAACTGTTATGGCAAACTATCTGTGTTGTGGAGTAAAAAAGAGGCTTCTTAGACATCATAGACCTCCTCTTCCATGGCATGACCAACTTCTCCACGAAGCTGGTGGAAGGTGTTGCACCTCAGGATCTCCCAGCCACGGTGAGAACTAGTCCTGGATGTGCTCCGTGACAATGACAATGCAGACAGTTCCTTCTTGTACAGAATGTCTCTACTGATTTCTAGCTTCTCCAAACCTTTGTCATAATTATCCCTATCCTGAGCCTTAAACGCTTCTGTGTAACACATCAGCTTGTGTTTGTTGGGATCAACCCTGTCTTCAACTCTGTAAGAGGATTAAAAAACATAAACTGAATGAAGTAGAAACATGCCAGTTTCTCAACAAAATCAGTCATATGAAGTAAGCCTATCCCAAAAATATGACTACTGATCCAGATATTCCAAGAAATCTACACAGGAACAGGAAACTGATCATAGGCATGGTGCTAGCAGCTGCTAGCACGCAATTATCTCATAGATCTTCATCCCCATCATTGACTTCAGTACCCTTATCTGCCCATGGTTTCCTTTAACTCATTTTCCAGTCATGATTTGGCCTTTCCATTTTGCCATCTGTAAGCTATCAGCAGACCTACCCTACCTGATTCTAGGTTCAGATCCTTTCTATATACAAATATATTCATCCATTGCTATTGTTCTTCTCTTTCCTCCTCTGATACTCCATGGCTGCAAGCCTCAGGATGTCATTTATCTTTTGCTGAATTTTTATTTAACTGCTCCACTTGTACCAACCCTTCTCTACATTACTTCTAACTTGTCTTCTGAAGTACTGTCCCACACTATATACAGTGAACATACATGTCATTTGACAGAACTAAATCACACCAACATTTCTTCTCATAGCATCCAGTGAAGAATTGTTGCTGGGATATTGCTCTTGCAAAGTAACATTTTGCACCTTGGACTGAAGGTCTTGCATATTGGTACCACTTTAGGTCTGCTTGTTCTGCCCAGAAAACCTGAAAATCTACAAGGTTCATTTCTCTGCTAAAACCTGCAGAAAGTCCTATTTCATAGTCACCACTCTCCCTTCTGGCTTTGTAAGCAAAAGATGATGCAGTTAGAAATGACGCATGCCCAAAGTTAATTTTTTTCTCACCCTGGCATAAATACTGATTAAAATAAAAAATAACGCATCTATTGTTATGTAGACTACAGACTGTTTGTTTGTTCTTTCAGCGCCTAAACTGAAATCCTGGACTTAAGCCTTTGTCACCTGATGCAGCCTTTGCAAAGTATAATATAGTTACTAGGTTCACACAAGAAAACAAATCTTGCCTTTAGTTATTCCTGTTCTGGTTTTGGATAATCTGTAAAGCAGTTAATTGAGGCTGAATGCCTGCCTATTCAATTGATTCTGCCTTTGCCATTTCATGCATCTAATAGATAGGGACAGACAACCAAGCACACCAGTGAAGTTTTGTGATACTTATTATAAAAAGTTTGAAAGAAAAATTCAGGCCTTATAACTGACGTCATTTCTGGGGTCTGTCTCCTGCGACTGCTGGATTAGAAAACATCATCTGATTTCACAATGAACTGCACAGCAGGGCTTTCTGATGGGAACAGTGTTTGTCTATCAATCACAGACAGAAAACAGATTGGGGTCTGTATTCTGGAAGGGAAAGACTCCAAACACTCCTCCCCAGGCCACTGGAAAGGCTCTTTATTAACATCCATACATTGGATTCTTCTTCTTCTGGGATCCTTACATGCACACACTAGAAGAGAACTGACCTGAGATACCATCGGTCCCCTAGCCCATACTCCCTCCCACAGATTCCAGAGCGAGGCCAGAGACATCGTGGCAGCTTCCGCTCCAAAAAAAAAAAAAAAAAAAAAAAAAAAAAGAAAAGCTCTCAGATGAATTAAAAAAAAAATAATAATCAGACTCTCTTTCAAAATTAACAGTTTTATAAATACTGACACGTTACCATACTTCATTACAGCTCTATATGTAATGAAGAAAAATCAGAGTCAATACTCCATTTATTATAGACCAATTCACTATTTTAGTCCTAACTGTGCCATGTTGGGAGGAAGTAAAAGTGCTCAACTGTTAAATTTCTTTCCTTTTATACCTAATGGCATTGAGTATGGTAATTAATTTGCAAGCTAGAGAAGAGTATTTATATCTGCATTAACTACCATGAGAACTTACCAATGCAGCCACACAACTACATTTAACTATTTGACTTACTGCTTTCACACAGAAAAATAGTAGGAAATGGATTTCCTGTTGAGCAGCTATATAACTCATCTGTTTGAATTATTTTGCATTTTGATCTAGAGTCAGGTCAACTTCTTTTAATGGATCTAAAGATGTTACTGACCTACTTGTAATCATTACCTTGCATTCTATCTCCTCTCAGTCAATCCCTATGATTTAACTCTCAGTTACATAGAGATGTGATTTGTAAAAAAAGAAGCAACTTTAATTCTATTTAACAAGAGATTCCATGAGTAAGGAATAGCTAGGACAAGAAAGGCTGTATGTGTTCTAGCTGCTATTTGAAATAAAGTAGGAATACCCACACAGCAAAGATATATTGGACGACAGTTTCACATGGAAAGATGTGCAGAGGAGTAATCCTGCATATAGAAAGGACGGAAGAAATTTAGTGGCTGATGCACAGAAGCTAAAAAACATAATTAAAAGAACATGGCTTATTGGATTAACCTCTGAGAAAAGTGAAGGACAAAGAAAGATTTTAAAGTACCTCCTTTAGAGCACAGATGGCAAAGTAATTACACCATCAGTAATTGCATTTTTCCCTGGACAACCTTTCCCCTTCTTTACTCAAAACAAACCCACTACCACCTAAACTAGATTACCTGGGCTCTCCAGAGCTCATCCCGCTCATGAGCCACTCTCCAGTGGGTGTCACCCATCATGGCTATTAACAAGTTGAGCATAAGGAGGGTGGCAATGATGGCGAAGGCAAAGTATACCACACTGTACATAAAGGGCAGGTCCACATCATAGTTTGCAGGGCCATCAATGATAGTAAGGAACAGCTCAAAGGTGGTGAACAAGGACATGGGATAGTTGTAGAACTGCCCAAGGTTTTCAGGGTTCTCTGTCTGGAAGATGATGTAAAAAGCTAGAGGAGAGCAATGGAAGAAAAGAAAAAGGAGTTTAACCCATAATTTAAAATTGAAATTCCCATAGTTTAACAATGGGAATCACATTCCAAAAGCAACAACAGTGTCCTATAAGAGATGCTGACAACACACAGTGGTCCGGGAAGGTGTTTCTATACTAAAGCAGTATCCAGCATAACAAGAGCAAACCCCTGACTAGAAACCACTGGCCTCCATTACAAAATTAGTCAGAATTACTTTGATTATTTATTTGTTCTCAAAATAGTGATATTTTCTTCTTCAATAATACAATAAATGTATGTATGTTAGTCGCCTTTTCCAAAGACAAATATAAATGCAGCACGTTTTTAAACCTTGCCATATATATGTGGAATTACGTGGATTGTCCTAATTTCTGTTACCCTGGAAAGAGCAAGAATTTCAAACCAAACTCATGAGAACAGAAAACAGTACTGGGAAAGTGACCATGCTTAAAGAAATAGAATCTATACATCATTACCACCTCTGTCAGCTAACTTAGAGGGCAACCTGAGAATAAATTAAAACCTACACATTTAATACATATTGAAGAAGTTGGCAGTGGTAACATATTGCTGTTTACCTTTTGTAGACTCACCTGATGCAAAGCCTAGTATCACCACAGCCATGAGCCAGCAAAAGCGCATAAGATCTCCAAATATCATCTGCAGAGCAAAGACAGAGCCACGATAAAGGCCCAGCTGTCCCACCAAGTAACAATGCAAGCCTATGCAAATTATTTTCCACATTATAAGACAATAAGTGGACTAAAGGAAACTTCTGCACTAAAAAGAGAAATGTGGAAGCCCCAGACAATCTGTGCACTTGCCATTAATGCTAGTCCTGAGGGAGAGAAAGTATTCTTTCAGTTCTCCCTATCTGCAAAGAGGTGTCAGGATATGTGTAACAAACCCATATTTGTTTGTGTTTTATACCTTCTGGATCATGATGGTAAAGGGTCCAAGCATCTGGAAGCCTCGTGCGAAGTACATGACATTGCACCATCCTAGTACCAGGGCAAAGGACATGGGCACAACCTCACCAGTTGTGCTGGTGAGACGCATCACCATGGTTACTACAATCATGCAAGCATATGTGATGCTGCAAAGGAAGAAGAGACAATGAAAAAAGTTCAATAAACAAATCTTACCCTCCTTTTTTATTTCTTTTGAAAAATTCCAAGACAGGCACATACAGCCACCATCCCCATAAACAGAGACCTCTCAGCACTGTTAATTCTACCTGTCCATTCACCTGGCTTCCTACACACCAGTAAGAGAAATAAATCAAGAGAAGAAATACTCTAAAAGAATGGGGAAAGTAACTCATCTGTCAAAAGACAGTAGTGGGGAAAATCAGGGACAATATATTTATTAGACTTAAAAAGTGTGTACTTACACAATTATGTGGAAAGGCCCTCCTAGGATGGTTTGTCCAAAGTATTTTGCTGCTCCAACTCTAAGAATATCTGGGATCTAAGAGACACATCCTAATGACTTTAGGACTCAGACGGATTACATTATACTATTAAATGTCATGGTAACCACCAGTATTCACAGGATCTTGGGTCCAGCTGCATCTGCTTTGTTTGCTGAGTCACAGTTTGAGTTCTATATTACTTTAACAACAGAATGATTCTCTGTGGGATGTGACAGAGATTGCTGGAAGATATAAGAACACTTTGGCAGATTGAAAGAATTTTAGTATGTGGCAGAGAGGTGTTGCAGCCCAGAGCTGTGAGCCTGAAGTTCATATAGATTACTGAGATCAGACAAACAGCTGAGCATCAGAAATTAAGACAAGAGAGACCTTCTTAGGGAATCAAAGGAGTTTGTTATAATTCTGACTGTCTTAGCTCTAGTGTAGCCCAAGTCCCAACCAAACACAGGAAGAAGGCTTTGTCCTGAAACATGTATGGGCAGAGAAAAAGCTCTTTACAAGCCCTGTTTTATTTCAGTTCTCCCTGGCTTCATCATTTGAATTTTCTCATATAAATGTTTTGGTCTTCTATTTCATATTACAATAAAATCAAGTGGGGGATGTATTTATTTTAATTTAAAGAACATTTTCCCTTTTTTGGAGAGTTCATGGTAAGTAGAACACCTAAATATGTCCACCACAGAACTGTGGTTGAGTAAGGCTCATGTTATAGGTCCATACAGACACTGACCTCCCATTAAATACCAACTTTTCTGTGTATGCACAGAAATCATTTCACCTAGCATCCCTAAACACATGAGTATTTAGGGGTGCTGGGTGAAGAATCTTTAAGAATGTCATGCCATAGCTGGGATTCAGCTGGACCCACATATGGTGCTAACGGAAACTGTGGCATTATACTGTAGATAGCATTTAAAAGTGTGGCCAGTTCTTCTAATTGCTGCTTCTGCACCTGGAGTCTTCCTAGTACATTGTCACAGTCTCTGTTTCGTTCAATAGATATTGTTGACAGTGTCTGTTGCCACAGATGTATATCAAAGCACTTGGTCTAAGCAAACAACCCCTACCAAGTTGTGAGCACAAATTCATGTTCGTCTAGTAAGTAAAATCTGTCTTGATGAAACTGGAAACTATATAGCTGACTGTTTCTCTTACCTCAAGGATCAAAATTACTACAGCTCCAATGACTGTGATCAGCTCCCCCACAAAAAAAAAAAAAAAAAAAAAAAAAAAAAAGGTGAATTAAAATAAAATTAAAGGGAGTGAAAGGAAATTAATAAAAAAAAAAAGGAAGGGGGAAAGAAGGTCCACTGTTAGTATAATAAATATAACTAGGTCTGACAAGGCCACAGGAACTAGCCCAGCCCCAGCAACGGCAAACAGAACATACCCCATGCTCCTCACTGACAAAGGTCAGCTGGCAGAAAGAGAGAAGGAGGACAACTGCAATAGCTAGGAACTGGGAAAGACTCAGAATTTCCAGTTAAGTTTAGGTTAGATGACAACTGCTCAGGGCTGCCTATGGGGCCCTGACTCCTATAGACACAATACCTGCAGCATTTTCTGGACATAGATTGTATTGTCTCTGCTGCTTGTTTTGTTGCCTGTTCGGGGTTTCAGTGGTCGGTAGACACAGCACATAGTGAAGCAGACCATGTAGAGTATATAGAATAAAGCCAGGAAACAGAAATAGGGCCGACCATACATATTCCACTTCAGGCTCACCAGCTCCTTCACAGGTGTTAGGTCCAAGATCTGGCGTGCCTGAGAAAGACAGAAAGAATTAATTGCCATGAGGGCATTTGTTTAAAAGCATCATTCACAATATTTCCTGGGAGAATGTTAACAAACTATTCGCACATACTCTGTACAGCTTTAGGAAGCTGAATTTATTTTTCAAAAAACAGAATGCTCAAGAGTGTTTGGATTTGCTCAGTTTGCCAGTAAAGAGTTTGGAAAAATAAAAGTAAAAAATATATCCTGCAGAGAACAGCTTTTGAGTAACAGTGGGAAGGACAAGAAAAGCATGTTAGATACTGGAATGTGTGTTGTCTATTTAGGCCTGGATGCATACACTTGAGACAGACCTATAATCTAGATCCATGAATGCAAATATATGAGAATATGTTACAGCAAATAAAAAGCATTATTTAAAATAGCATTTGATAGTATCCTTTATGAAAGACCCATTATCTTTTACAGGGCTACCGGTAGAGTATAAGATATATACATATTAGGGTTGGGCTAAATTTACACTCTCAGAAGGTATATAAATCCTGTGAACTCTAGGGATTCAAACACATACAAAACTAATTCTATTCACGAATTGTCTTACTGTAACTGGAATCAGTTTTGAAGAATATTCTCATTTGTTAAGCAAGACAGCACAGTGCATTCTACAGCAGACACTCTCCTCTGTGTAAAATATACATCTTAATGAAAACACAGAATTTAAGATAAGATAATTTGGATTCTATTTTCAGCTACAGAAAAAAGTTTCTGTAAAACCTTGCAAAATTCACTTCAATGTTTTTCTCCAAATTGGAGTTCTGCATTTTTACATGTAAATTAATATTGTTTCAACAGCTATTTCTATCAACTTCAGTAGCATCTGTGGAACTCTTAATCTCTAGGAAACGTGTCAAAAGATCCTTTAGATTATTAGCTCTCTTTGAAAAGCTGACACTGATATTACCTTAATTTAGCAGGCAACTAAGAGGACATTGGGAAGATTTCCAAAGTTCCTTAATTTCTGTCTAAATGTATCCTGTTAATGGACTGGATTATTAAAAGTTTTCACCATTCAGCTATGATGAAAATTCAGTATACCCACAGTGATATATACTGTGAAAAAAACCAGGCTCTTTGAACTCAGTTCCTTTACATTATTTTTATCACAATCAAAGTTTTAGCCCTTCTTTTTAGAATCTCAGTGGTGCAGCTCAAATATATCTAGAAGACCACATACATTTCCAGAAATAAACAGAAGCTTCAGTGAGCATCTTGCATGATATGAAAAATAATGCTGTTGCATACCCTGAGGTTGTGTTTCTGTCACAGATATGCATATACATACTGTGTAGCTGAGAAATTCTATACAAAAAGAAAGCTTCATCAAAATAGTTGAGACCATAGTTTTAGAAGTGACAAAGAGGCTCTGTAAAAAGTAAGAGCAGTGGAGTTATGAGCACTGGAGGGAAGACTCCTCTCCTATCATACTACAGTTCCTTTCCAAAAACTAACATGAAAAATCCAGAAATCTTCTTAAGTGTCCTCATGGTTGATCTGGTTGATATGCACACATGCATATAAAGGGTAAAGAAAATACAGTAGGATGTTACAGGAAAAAAAAATAAATCAATGTCTTTTCCTCTGTTGAACATTGCTGATTTATGCCTCTGAGTAAATCTATTGATTTCCTGGTGGGATGACAAGTATAAAACCTGTAAAGATCAGGATCACTCCACTCTTTTTAACTGTTTTCCTAGGAGAAGATGAAATCACAGCTATATGAACTGTCCAACAAATGTCTTTACTTCTTCCTACAACTCTGCTTCATCTATGTCCTTAGAGTATCACAAATCCATCACACAACTCCAGGTACCTAAATGAGGTGTCTTCATTAGTGACGTGGTTAACGTAAGATTTCTGTCCTTGTAGGCAACAGGGTCCTACACATTGCCATTCAGCTCACCTAAGATCTAAACTGTTCTCTGGAGATACTTAGTTACTTGCATTTCTCTATCATCCACATGTAAAATACAAGGACTCTGTATTCCTTAATTAAACATTGCAGTTGGAAACAAAAATTAGATAGGATGAATCTAGTACAAATACACTTCTTTAGCTTAATTTGTCCAATGTTAACACATAATATTGCATGTAAGAAAGTAATTACTCTCAAACCCACCCAAAACTAGACACTTCACTTAGTAAAACAGTCTGTGAAGAATGAACCACAGGGAAAGATGTTAAATATGTAATGCACTATTGGGATGTATTCAATAACATATTGACAAGAGCACTATGCTGATATAAATAAAATGGAAGAGAGAATATTAGGGTCTTTTCATACTGAGTTCTTTTGAAAAATTTGTCCTGTGATTCCCTAGTGGTCATAAACTACATAGAGTATCACTGTGAGTAAGTATGTTCCACAGAAATGACAGATCTTATTTTCAAAGTAGATGGATTTTACTGACTCAAGTTATCATGGCTTCCAATATCTGCAGTAATTTAAGAGTTGGATATCTACTTTGGAAACAAATGGATCACCTTAAAGTATTTTCAAAACAAAATCTTCTTTTTTATTCGGTTATAATCCATATTCTGTCAAAGTGAAAGTAAAACAAAGATACTTTGTTTATTTGTGCTTGCAAACCCAGAAAATCATCATGGAGTCTTTTTGTGTTTTACTGTCAACTCACTGTAATTGTCTAGTGTCCATCCCCAATCTGGAAGAAATCAGTATAGCTGAACCAAAGTTATAATTGTACTGGTTTCCTAGAGTTGAAGAGTAAGCCTGTAGTCCTTCACCTGTCTTCCCTATATGGAAGTGTAATTTCTATTGATGTAGGTAGAATATGGAAATACTCAATCTAGAAACAGAACTATGGCTGGTATGTTTATGAAGAGTCAAAATTTCCTTTGTAGGTCAAGGGGATCAATCCACTCCAGAGATAGTCAAAAGCAGTTGGATTCAGCTATTTTAAGACAGTCGGTGTTATTTAATTTGCAGTTTCTCTACCTATAAAAAAGGGAAGAATTTATTTGTCCGTTCTCACAGAACACATGCAGGGTTCATATAAGCAGTAAGTTACTATTCCAAGAATCCTTTCAGAGGTTGCCAACTGAGTGCCAAAATGTCAACAAGGCCTTTTCTGTAAAAGGGAAACAAAGGCATACATATAATGGATTGGAAATTACCCTCAGTTCTGATGGCATCTTGAGGGTAAAAAAAAAATCAACTAAAATTTTTCTGATAAATCTTTGAAACGTTTTTTTTTGTTTGTAGGAACTGAGAATGACAGAATATTCCTGTTAGTACATCAATACAAGCCTTTTGTATCAGATGATTTAGGATAAGAAAATTGGAACATTCTTCCAAAAGAGATTAGTACTTGTCTAAAGCTCCATGGTTTATGTAAAAGCATTACATTTTAAGTTTCTACATTATTATCTGGGTGATACTTAACTGAGTCATCTATATCAAGCCTTCAGCTTCTGCTGGAAGACACTTAGAGCATAAGTAGGACAAACAGGGTACTTTACCCCTTGCTTATGAATTTGACCCATGCACTTTATTAGATGCTTCTAGACGTACTTCCTGTTGTAATGTTTAGGGGACTGCTGAAATAAGCAAAAAGGAGACGTAAGTCACTTGTAAGAAAAACTTCTTACTGCACTCTAGATATTTTCCTGCTCTTGGTACATTGCCCTGTTTCCTCTAAGTCAGCCAAAGACAAAGTGCAAGGAAGATGTATGTTTGAGCAAATGGACATGGTTCTAACAGAACTCTTGAATGACCCAAGAAATATCCTAAAGGATCAAAACTGAGAGACAGCAAACCTAGCTAGATAGCCTTAGGTGTTCTGTTTTCTGTAGAAGTCAGTATTCTAGAATTCTTTGCACAGGAGAGTAAATTTTCAAAGGTATAAGTTTGAAGCTTACTATAATCTCCCTGTAGCTTAGTTCCCTTCTGTTTTTTCCACTTTTCATCCACTTAAGGGCCAGAAAATATATCTTAGTACCTATTTGTGTATGAATCCCCCATAATACAAGAGGAAACTGCTTCTGATTGTGGCCTAAATATGCTCCTCCAATACCAGACTGGAAGGGTATGATAGGATGGAGTGACACATAGGATTCTTCTAGAGGAGACAGCAAACATTTTGGGCCAAACATATATTGAATGCAAAAAAAGAATAACTAGTTATGCCTGTGAAAACTGCAATTGCTCATATTTAATAAGAGTATTCTGGAAAATAAAGAAATCATAGTATCTCATAGTATTTGGGGACATCCCATCCACTGAAATTAAGACTCTTTGATTTGCATGCACTGTATGTTGGAGTAAAACAGAGGCACTGTATTCTGCCTTCTTTTAGGATTATTGTTTAGTCTTCTGGACAACTTGTAAGATTGTTCTGTTTTTTGACATAGACTGCTTTCTCATGAATTTCCACATGTAATACCACACCTAGAAATTTAGAAGATTTTAAATAAAAGAAAATGAGACTTTCATAGACTTCCTCCACACTGTGCAAAGTTCTCCAGTAGCTGAAGCTTCTGTTGGAGAAGTCTGATTAAACTTTTGATAGATAGAAATAATACAAGATGGGTAGAACCGTGCTAATTAAAGTGTCCTCTGATTCATTTCCTGTCCTATTAGGATTATTTAAGGTGATTACAGCTGATGGGGTAGTGTACCTTGAAAGTCATCATATCTGTCTAAGCTTGCCATTACAGTCTATTTTTATCTCAGTGATCCCTTTACAAGTTTTTGAGCCTACAGAAGAGATAATTCTCTCACTTTGTTTTGAGTCATCACCTGGACAAGCAGTACCATTAAATGAAGGGAATAATAACAAGTGGTTTTAAAATGCACTACAGTTTAGGATTTCTGAACATAGTTGTTTCTCACAAGGACATTGTGAGTGTTCACCAGTATCAGTTACAGAAAGCTACTTGCTAGAGCTACTCTAGAGGTACTTGTTACTGATATCCTTAAGCCTGGTGAGAGAACTCTTTAATGAATCACACAATGTCACTGCCTGTAGCTTGTTCATTCACCATCTGCAAGTTTCACACCTCAGAAGAAACTGTATATTAAGCATCAGATGTAGCCAGATCATTAGTAAGCTGCTACATTTCATATATTCCCTGAAGTACATGGTCAAAGTCCTTGCTCTGTGGATAATAAAAAAGAGCTTGAATGTTCTAAGTCATCTTTCTTCTCCTTTTATAATCACCATGGTGTGCACATAGAAAACATGTGGTGCCCACAGTACCTCTCTCTTCTTGGTTGAGACAATGAGCTCAAGGAAGGACTGATTGTCAGCCCAGGAGTCAATCTCTGTGAGATCATAGAGCACAGTGGTCAAGGGGCCAAAGGACCAGAGATTGTGCTTCCGCTTCTGCATAAGGTATTGAAACATCTGTGGAGAAAAGAAAGGGGTCAAGTTTTCCAGTATGTAGTGTATCTTCAATGAGAACAAATAAAGTTGTTAAAAACCCTTAACTGAATGTATTTTCCTTGAACCTGGCAGTTGTTGTGGTTTTCATATCTCTCAGAAACAATTACAGCAGGTAAAGAACTTTTTCTGATTCACATTTAATTATTAACTTGTGCTTGAGGCAAAAGATGAGTGATTTTTACTCAATTCTCATCAAATTGGTAAAGTTATTTGACACAGCTATATATCTTGACAATAGATTTGAGATGGAATTATATGTTAATTAGAAAAAAAAAATCCTTTTATACTCCTCTACAAGCTATCAGGAGAGGTGTGGCAAGGGAAATGATCCTGCCCTTTGTGGATCTGCAGAAGAAACACTAAACACCTTTGTCTTTTTGTTGAGGGAAGGATGAGAGTTTACATTAAATAATGAGTTCTTGTCTACGAAGAAATGTCTGTGGATACCTGAAGAAGTTTCCTGTGTGTCACATTTAGGGTAATGAAAACTAGACATCAAAGACAGTAATTTCAGTCAGACTTTCAAACAATTACTTGGGGTGGATCTTTCTGTTAATACCTGTTTAACTCAAATGCTTCAAAAATTGGATCAAAAGATTTATTCTTTAAGCACTTGTTCCTTTCATTAGGATAAAGAAATTTCTTATAAACAGTTTTCTGGTCCTACATGAGACTTCTGGAATTAAAAAAAAAAAAAAAAAAAAAAAAAAAAAGACTTGTTATGTACCTTCTAACCACTAAGAACATGCACAAACTCCCTTGGTCTACATGACATTATTTCAAGTTCTCCATTTCTATTTTGTATGGAGGCAACTGTGTCACAAACTCACCACAGTGTTGCCCTCAACTCCAGCCAGTTTGAATGGAGTAAGCCCCTCATTGTTAGGAATGAATTCAAGTGATCCTGGTCCCTCTTTGTTCCTGTCATAAGAAAGTATGAGGCTGTACATGTGGCAGGCAAATGTCTTATTAGGTTGGAGAACCAGGATGTGAAGAACAGTGTTACCTATGAAGGAAGCAGACCAGATAAAGTATGTGGAATAGCCCAGCCCTCTGCAAAGACCGGCAACTGACTGATGGCTTTCCTTTTGCTCACATCCCTCATCCCACAGCCATTTATAATGAGAGAAAAATATGTGCGGGCACAGATGACAGAGTCTGATTTTAAAGTGTCCATATCCACTGTATGCAATTCACTAGGTCCCACAGCACATACCTAGATAATCTCGAGCTCTAATGTCAGCTCCATTTTCAATGAGCAACTGTACAATTTCCTCATTTCCCACACAGGCAGCAAATGATAAAACATGTTCTCCTGCAAAGAAAGGAATGGTGTGAAAGATTAAGACCCCAGCAGGCAGGAGAGGTTGAAGCATGCTGAGGAAAAGCTATCCATGCTATGAAGCCAGAGGTTATGAAAGGAAGAGTTACTTCAGGTAACCTGTAAATTTCCTGCCCCGCTCCTCATCCTACTCAGAAAGGAAAAAAAGACCTGCCCTCCACAACACTAAAAGGAAGAAGTATTCTTTTCAGGAGATTATCTTCACCAGAAGGCTGACAAGTAAGTTGGGGTGTATGCTACTAGGAAGACATTAAATTATATTTTTTATGCAATATATATTTTTGCATACATGAAAATATATAAATTGTGTATGGCACATTTATATTTATGTAGTATTTACATACTCAGATGGAGTGTTGCTGTCTGCTAAAAGGTGTGTGACACTTGAAAATAGGAGCCTCTGCTTATGTGGTTTAGACAGAGACTAAATTAAACCTCCCTTATATTCCCTTATCACTCTGCTGGTTCCCTCCCATAGCAGCAAGGGGAGAAGATAAGGCTGTACCGAAATAGAGAAGGTTCTGGGAGCTGCGCCTGAAGAACTGCCCAGTTGCCTGTGCTGTGCAGGCATTGGCCCCTCTCTTGAGTAAAGCTTTCACCAAAGTGATGTTCTGGTTCACTGCTGCAATGTGGAGAGCTGTCTGCCCTGTAAGACACAGAAATAAAACCTTTCCTTCCAAGAAAGCTGATCAATAGCCTGCAGTTCGCATTTCAGTCACAGTAAATTGCAATTTTTTGGGACTGCATCCATAGTGGCTGTAAGATTTAGCTTTGAAGTTTTCCCTGTTGTGTGCAGAGGGCTGGACTACAGATTTTCTAGAGGTGCCATTCTACTTAAACCTTTTTATGAATTCATGAAAACTGACTTTGCAACCTGCCAAAAAAACCAACAGGATGCAGTTTCTAGGTTTTTTTGCTGGGGGAAAACAAGACATGTCACACTCTTTCAGGAAGCACACTGAAAGTTGTGTGACTGAGTTTGCCTTCATGGGACATGAAGATAAAGTCAAGACAAAGCTCCCAAAATAGTCTTGCTCTAATCCTTCAAACTAGTTATTAGAATTTTTAAAACCCCATCATTATTATTTTAGTGGTTTCAAGATTCTGTCTAGCATTTCAGTGTAGTCAGTCAAAACCATTCTTTAAAAACGTGGCTCAGAGTCTAGACTTAAAAGCAGTGGCCACATTCGTTTTCAATCCCCATTTTTGTCAACTGAATAATTATTTTTCTCTCCTTTCAGAGACCAGGTAGGGATCCCCTTTGTTGCACATGAGTAAATTAGATATATCCTTGAAATCCCACTATAGCCAACTGTTTTGCTGATCAGGGATACCAATTAAACTCAGACACCAGAGTGAAAAGAGCAGGCATATTTTACTTAAAATAAATAAATAGTGTAACAGAATAATACAGAAAACATACAGTAAGAAAAGACAGAACAGCGCGCTTAAACGAATAGGAAAATACAGGGTAATGCATCAAATCATTACTACCTGAGAAAGAGAATAGTGATTAAGAAAGATACATCACCACTTGCATACTTTACCATCATCCAGATCTGCAGTCGCTGGGGAACCCTGGATACAGCGAGGGTTTGGAGAGCCTGTCCCAGCAAGTGGGAAATCCTACACAGTGCATCCACCCACAGGTGAGGCTTCCAAAGTTGCTGTGAGAGGGTCCAGCCTTATATACCCCAAAATCAGCAAGCCAGAATAGCTGGCACTTCTGTTTTAAGTGAAAATATCTGGTTTCTTTCTCACGTTTGATTCCTGCAGAGCCTGGCCAGGGCTCAAGGGAGAAACTAAGGGAGTTTCCCAGCTTATCTAAATCATTTATGAGCAAGGTCACATGCCAGCTCACAGGGCCAGACAGCTGTCTCTGTTACCCTGTTATCTTGCCTATACACAAGGAAAGATAAGGAGATTAGATATAGATATAGATATAGATAGATATAGATATAGATATAGATATAGATATAGATATAGATATAGATATAGATATAGATATAGATATAGATATAGATATAGATATAGATTTTTTTTTTCAAGATAAACATGTTTAGTACAATACCTACTAGTATAATGGTTATCATCTATAAAATATACAGGATTCATCTATAGGTCAACTCTGGCTTGGGCCTATTGTCCAAGCCTTAGCACTTCACCAATGGGCCCGTCTGTGATTAAGGGTTTCTCAATTATGCACTTGCATGTTTGCACATGGGTTTAATATAATTCCACTTTCCACAAATGGCCAGGAGCCATATGTATGTTGGTTTTGCTATGTAACACTTTAACAATATACTGAATGATGAACAGTGTAAGCCACTTTCCTAAATGTACAGGTAGCGTACTGAGATGTACTGAGAGTACTGCCCATCATCATTCCCTGAGATGTTACCTTCATAGAGCTCTGATGTCATCCTCTCATTGACAAGCTCAGGAGCTGCTTCCATCAGAGTCACCGCTGCCTCCACGTTATCATACAAGGCAGCTACATGAAGAGCGGTCTCCCCCACTGCACCTAGAAACAAGTAGTAGAAGTGAGTGAATTGTCTAGACATTCAACTATGTGGAAGAATTATGGGAGTCTAGGTCCTCCGTTGAGTACTGCCAGGTGCCGCTTCATAATATGACATGTAACAGCCAAGTAACTGCACAGTTTCTGTCCTTCACTCCATTACAATCTGAAAGCCCTCTAGAAAAAAAGGACTATCAAGCTATAAACCTCTGATCTTCACCATTCCTTTAGGGTTTGATGAGCTCTCCAAGTCAGAAAACTCACTGTGCTGGGTTTGTGTGTGTGGCACCGTTTTGGTAGTGGGGGAGGAGGTTCCAGCAGGGGTCCCTTGTGAGAAGCTTCTTGGACGTCCCCTGGCTCCAAGCTGAACTCCTCTCTGGCCAAGGCTGAGCCAATTAGTGACAGTGGCTGCAGCTTTGTGGTAACGTATTTAAGAAGGGGAACATGGGAAGAGGAGTTGGCCTTGTGAGGAGTTGGAGTTGTGAGGGAGACACCTATGCAAACACCAAGGTCAGTGGAAGAAAGGAGGAGGAAGAGGGCAGGGATGTGCACCAGAGCATAGACCCCCCTGCAGCCCATGAAGGTCACTGGTGGAGCAGATGCCCACCTGCATTCTGCGAAGGACCCCACACCAGAGCAGGTGGCTGCACCCAAAGAAGGCCAGGACTCTGAGGGAAGACCATGCTGAAGCAGTTCATCACTGGGAGGACTGCAGCCCGCAGGAGGGACACACGCTGGAGCAGTTCATGAAGAGCTGCAGCCCACGGGAAGGACTCACCTTGGAGGAAGTTCATGGAAGACTGTCTCCCATGAGAGGGACCCCACACTGGCGCAGGAGAGGAGTGTGAGGAGTCCTCCCCTGATGAGGAATGAGCAGCAGAGACAATGGGCAATGAACTGGCCGCAACCACCATCCCCTGCTCCCCTGCACCTCTGTGTGGGGGAGGAGGAAGAGAAATTGGGAGCAAAGCTGAGCCTGGGAAGATGGGAGGAGTGGAGGGAAAGTGTTTTATTTAAGATGTGGTTGTATTTCTCCCTGTCCGCCTCTGATTGATTATTAAATTAAGTGATGGTGGTGGTGTTCTTTAAATTAAATTGATGTTTCTTTTCTTCCCCAAACAAGTCTGTCTTTTGCCCATTAACCATAATGGGTGAATCATCCCTCCCTATCCTTGTGTGGATTCCTGAGCCTTCTGCTGCATTTTCTCCTCCCCATCCCTGACAGGGAAGGCGTGAGCAAGCAGCATTGTGGTGTTCAGTTGCCCTCTGGGCTCGCTCAAACCATGACACTCATTTATGTTGTAAAGCTGCTGACATAGACTTAAGTAGTTAGAGTCTGATAATGCAAAATGTACTACTCTAGTTGTTATAGCAAGCTTTTGCCTTCCACAGAAAACCTTTTGTCACAAATAATCAAGTTACCTCTCTGATAGATATCACAGATTCCATCAGTGAGAAGTTTCCTAATGGCTGGGAGATTGTTCTCTTTGGCAGCCTGGAGGAGTGGGGATTCCCAGATCCTGTAGTCAAGAAAAGTGGCTGATAAGAAACACAGTCAAACACATGGTGCCACTCTCCAGAGCTAACATGGCCTTTGCTTGAGACTGTACATATCTTCAACATTTTCACTGAAAGATCAGTAATGCACACCTACCATCTCAGGTATTTTTTGAATGCAACAGAAAAGAACCATCAAAAGCATGGCAAGTGTAGTGCTAAAAGCCCAGGTAGGCTGACTGATGCTTAACCATATAGTGGCAGCAGAGGGAAAGCCAGGAGAAACAAAGAACCAACTCCACAATGTTTCTGGTTTCTCAAAATACAGCCCACATTTTGAGACACAAAAGATAGCAAAAGATGGGTCATTTGATACCCCTCCTGCCACTAGACTAGTTATCTCAAGAGCAGAGATAATTACCTCAGGGCAGAAAAAGCCAGTAAATTTTTTTTTGCACAAAAAAAAAAAAAAAAAAAAAAAAAAAAAAAAAAAAAAAAGTAAGTTGTCATATGATCATTTCCATAATGAACAGAAAAGTACAAAGAAGAATTTCCCATGTCATAGCAACACTTCCTATGATATAATGAAAAGAATGAGCTCTGAAATGTTAGTTCCTCACCATACAAATTCATGAGGAAAATTCTGAAAGCTTAGCTATACTATTTCTTTCTCTAGTGCTGAGAAAATTGAGGAAATTGTTGAGAACTGAGATATATGCCTGTCCTGGGAAAAAGCATGCCATCATATAAGTCCCAGACTGAATGGTTCACTTATAGATGAAGAATGCCCTTGAGTCTTCCATGAGGGTCTGGGTTATTTCAGTAGATCCTCTGAGACTACTGAAGAATTTACGAGGACAATCACCAAACTTCACTACAGCAAAGTCCTTTGATGCAAACAGGAGATAAAGGGAGGTGATCCTCCCCCTCTACTCAGCTCTGATAAGGCCATACCTAGAGTCCTGTGTTCAGTTTTATAATCCACAGTACAAAAGACATATGGAGCTATTGGAGGGAGTTCAGCCAAGGGCCACAAAGATGATTATGGGACTAGAGCATCTCTCATATGAGGAAAGGTTGAAAGAATTAGGACTGTTTACCCTGGAAAAGAGAAAGCTCAGGCAGGGTTTTATCAGTGGGTAAAAGCACCTGAAGGGAGGGTGCACAGTTACCTGCAATGCCTGCTTGCTCAGCATCCAAATAAACTTTGCCAATGTTCAAAATGAAGAGTTGGCCAAACAAAACCCACAAAAAAAATAGAACAAGATCTATTCATTAGGGGTAAATATTTGTTATCTTTGAATATTTTCTGATTTATCTTTTAATTCATAAAAAGTGTTTTGGGGTGGGGTTTTTTGATTTTTTTTTCTATACAAATAAAGAATTGTAAGTAGCCCAATTTCAAGAGCTAAACATCTAAGGGGAAGCAAGACCCTCAAACCCAAAGAAACAGCCTACGTCTCATGAATTTTCAGTATGAAATAGAGATTCTTCTCTCCAAAAAAGGATAAATTCAGTTTTAGATCTCTGTTCTGATGCAAATTTTATGCTTTTATGTCACCTTTAATTAAAATGTTTAATTTGTTCTTAATGTTTAATTTGTTCTTAATTAGTTAGCATGGTTCAGGTCAAATTGTAATGTGTGATATGGAATAAATCTAAGGAACGTGGTAGAACAATGACAAATTCAAGATACAAACAAGGAGAAGATCAGCCCTCATCTTCCTACCAGCTCCAGTCTGTCCTTTTACTACAGTCTAACAACTGGCAATATACTGGATGTTAGTCTCACACACACACACAAGAAAAAAACATGTGGGACAAATACATTAGTCAAACTATATACCTGAAGGTATATTCAATGGTTTCTGCTTGTGAAGATTTGTCCCAGATTTCTTCCTTGTATTCTTGCATTATTTACTTACAAGGTTTTGGAGATACAGTTTATAGGGCAAATACTATATAAAGAAATAGGTATTTTGCATTAAGTCATAACACTGATGCTAGAATAAGTTATCTATGAATATAACTCTATTATAAGCCACAAGAAAACCCACGTAAGAGAGAGAGAATATAAATGGTCTATTGCACAAAATGTTTTCTCAGAACTTGTGCTTATTAGGTATAGGATAATTTAACAATAAAACCACAGGAAAACAGGCAACATCAGTTCTATGGCTTATAGAAATATATATTTCTTGCCTTAAATTATTATTTTATGAACAATACAATCTTGAAGAAAAAAAAAAGTTATTTGATAATTCATTATCTCTGGATTTGATCAACCTGAAATGTGCAATATCTGCACACCTCTATAGCAGAAAGATACACACTTGAGGGATAAAGCAAAACAAGAAGTATCAGAATTACACAGATAAATATGAATCATTTGAATAACTGTAAATTAATGGGCGTGGGCTACAAGTAATAAAAGCTTAACTTAATATTGTATTTATCATTCCAGAAGAGCAGCATTTCCTGTCACCAACAGCATCCCATTACCTAGGTCACTAGAAACAGACTAGAAAACTGCTGAAGAACAGGTGAGAAACAAAAACATTCAGAATATAAAGAACCATCCTGAAAAAAACAGGGAACCATTTGGAGATACTTTTATGTGTCCTTGAAACTCTTAGCCTTGTTGCTTTGAGAAGTATTCCTTCTTTAGCTTAATCATTCATCAGTTGTGTTAGTTGCCAATTACAAGATGATTTGATGAAAACACTGCATCTAGAGTCAGACAAATAGGAACAAAATAAGAGGCACTTTGAGCAAAAGTTGTAAGATTCAATATCAGTGAAACAAGTTCACCACTTCTGCCATTATTTTGGCTGAAAAAGACACTGTGTTCCCGGAGAACGTAAATTTCAAAGGCAGGACGTAGGAAGAAGGTGGGGTTTCAGTAGTATGAACAGTATTGCAATTAATATGTTGATACTTTATGGGGTAGGTCTTTATCCCTCAAATGACCTCAGAGAGGAGGAAGGATTGGGCAAGAGACAGTGTGGGAGGATGCAAACACAATACCCTTCTCACAAAAATCTCCAAAGCCCTTGTAAACAACTAATTAAATTACAGACCTGCTAAGAGCGAGATAACCTAATAACTACAAACTCAGATTTCAGAAATTTAGGGCAAGATTGTTAAAGCTTTCAACTCCAAACTGGGCTTAAAGAACCAGAGATACCACACCAAACATCAAGGTGGTGAAGAACACAGAAGTGTTGGTAAATGTCATTGGCACACTGCCATGTCTTGCATGTTTACACCATATGCTTTTATGCTCATTTAATCTTCTATCCCAGAACTGGGGAAACATTTTGCTCTCATTTAAAACATACCATTATAATTATCAACGAATTTTTAATACATTACAGCAATACGATAAGCATGTAAATGTCAAGAACTAGGTGAGCCAAATCCACTAATATGAAAAAGTCATCAGAATCTAAAACCTTAAAAATGTTTTAATTTTTTTAAGTTTTGCATATTTGACCAATTTTCTTCCTGACCCATCAAACACAGCATGAATTCTATATTTTACAACTCAAGTTCCTGTGTGTCAAAGCAGCAGCAGGTAAAATCTGTAACTTAAGTCTCCTAACAGAGATGCCTACAGTAGATGCTTAGTTTCCATAAAGTACCCTTATGTCACTGGATGAAGAGGCTGGTTTTCAGGGAATGATTTAGCGGAGATCTGTTTAGACACTGTAAATCTAATTTAGCACATCTAAATTAAGCTCCTGTTCTAAATCATTCTCGTCATCAGCTATGGAGTCAAGGGACACTAAGATCCTAATTTAGCCAGCTAAATTAGGCCTATAACACTAGGCAGTACTGACACTGCCTTACAGGATCAGTTTAGGATAAGCACAGCTGCACAGCTAACCAGTAGTTCTGATCGGCAGTGAAAACCACAGCAGTATCTACCCAGAAGTGCTCTCGGGTTCTTCTTACTCAGCTAATGAATGAAGCTGTGTTGAGACACTTTGTAAGCCTTGATCGCGTATTACTATCAGTCAGTTTTCTTAACAGATGGTTCAATGATATGTTCAGGAAGCTATGAGTTGTTTTTCAATATAGGTGAGGACAAAATCAGGAACACCCGAAAATCCATTGTGAAACAAAGAGAAGATAGAATGTAGGTCAGATTCTGACTGAGGGAGTCATGTAAAATAGTTTTAAACAAGGTTAAGGATTTCACAAGCACTTTCTGCTGGTAATATGCACCCTTTGGGATTTAAAGCCTCTTAAGCAGTTATTCTGGAGTGCATCCTGCTCATTACTCTTATGAAGAGATAAATAATGCAAGGACAAATCCCTAAGTCTTAACTCTTTTATAAAAGGAAGAATTTGGATTTATAGGTTTATTCTTTTTAAAACAAGGAAATACGTTACATATGTGAACTGTCTGGACAACAACCAAGTCAAAGCTTCTTTTTCAAGACTGAACTCAACAGAGGCGCAACTGAACATGTCTTTCTCTTCTTTCCTTCCCTTCTCAGATTCCACCACTTGAGTCATTCACTGTATGGAATCTGCCTATTGTTTGTTCTAGTTTAAGTTTGGCATCTACTAGCTTCATGCTTTATCCCCAAAGCTATGTCAGTTACTGAAAGTCTAAAGTAATTCCAACTGAGCTATAAATTAATCAACAGGATATTATTTCAGCTTTCTTTTCCTTCCCTGTTGTGGTGCTCAGAATATCTATGCTCAACACTTAATGACGAAATTGCCAAAGGTGATTGATCTTCTCCCTTCCTTCTGCTAGCATGTTTATGTAAATGTATGTAAGACTTCAGGAGAGCAAAGGAGTGCTCAGAGGAAGGTAACTGGACACAAAGAAAATTAATGCAATCATCTGACATGACGCTACAGAATGAGTTAAGAAGTAATAACACAAAGTGAAGAGGAGACAGGTAACAGGGCCTTGGACAATCAACAGGGTCAGTAAACTTCTTCAGCACTGAGGGCAAATCTCAACAAATCAACTGGAAACTCTTGTGCATGTATTTTAAAGCCTCTTCAGCTGACAGAAGACAGAACTTCTATGGAAATAAATTATACAGGTTACTAAACTACTAGTCGATGGTACTAGAGAAGAAACTGATAGATAAATATCTGAAGGGATAAGACTTCCCTATCTACCACACTAAGCAATAGAAATCTTGCTCAGTCACTTCCACCAGGGCAATCTCCTTGCATCAGTCTCCCTTAATTCTGCATCTAAAAACAATCTCATGCTAGAACTGGATTAACAGTTCAGCAGATGTTAGTTATTCCTTATTATTTATTTATTGAGTTATTCATAAACCAAATTTCTTCTCTGAAGCACAACCTCCTCCTGCATCAAATCTCCCAACCCTCTTCAAAAGGAATTTTCTTGCAGTTTTAATCTAGGTTGTGTTCCTCCCTCTGTGTTTGATTAGTTTTCTCTAACAACTTTTTAATTTGGGACAGGTTTTTTTCAGAGCACAATTTTCATGTTTACTTCTTCACAAGGAAACCTATAGTGAAGTTTAAGGCAGCAAACAGCTTCCTACATCTATGAGCCTATGCTACATCTTAGGCACTGAGGTCAGATGTGTGTATGTCTGTGCATTCTTGGGCAAATATGAGTTCTGGAGGACCTTTACACTTGTGAAATTAGGGAGGCTTGTTTTCCATCAGGATGAAGGTGTCACAGCATAAGACCAGAAATGCTGTCAGTGACTTTATTTTACATGCAGCAGCAGAGTTTCCAACAGGCTGTTCTTTGTATATTGACTACTCAGAAGCACTGTTATTAAAACATATTACAAATGAAGTGGTGAAACTGGGAGCTGGCATCTTTATCTCACTATCACCTTTGGAAGCAAAGGAACCAATTAATACTGGCAGGCATTGTGGATTTTAAGGCAGGATATGACATTAATTTGTGCACTGAAAACTCATTAATGGTCAGACAAATCAACAGCAAAACTATGGTGATATCTCTCATTCACTACTAGCTTGAGAAAGATTTGTTTTCAAGGTAAGCAAAGCACTTTGTGAATATGTCAATGAGACTAAAGAGCCACAAAAAAATCTGGAAGTTTAAGAGGATTTAAAAGTTTTTACTGTGACATGCTTAGAATGACCACAGCTCTCTGCAAGTTATGCAAATTGTCCAAGCACCTCTAATGTATTATTTCTTATAGTGCAGTTTTCTATAGTTAATTAATGTGTAAAAATGTTTTGGTTTGATTTTGTTTGGCTTTTTTTTTTACGATGTACCACATAAATTAAGTATTTTATTGTCATTAGAATAATTAAGCCTTAGAGCATCCCACAAAGGCCAGGTGATACTACTAATACCTAAGCAGCAGCTGTGAGAGAGAAGAGACACACAGAAGATAGAATATTTATCAAATCAAAGTTAGAGAGGCAGGCAATAACATAAAAAAAAACCCAACACATTGATTGTCCTGGATCAGTGTACTCATTTGCTTAAATTTATTTGTTAGGGGTTTTTTATGAACAGTGCAATTCTCATATGGTGGAAATTCAAAAATTTACACGCTAGATAGATTTTGTTCACATTTCCTTAGAACCTCTTACACTGTAAGCCAGACTAAAAAAAAAAATAAAAATCAAGCAGTGGATCTCATAATTTCTGGAAGATCTATTAGACTGTGACAGGCATCTGCTTCCTCTTCACCTTGCTATCAGCCCTGAATTTTCCTATCTGTTTTTTCTTCCCCTGATTATGAACTATGTTGGATTTTTATGGTCATATGCTCTAGACTATGTAGATCCCAGAGTTTACTTCCAAAGATAACTCTAGAATGGACATCTGAGATGTGACCACTGTCCCTGGGACTCCACACTGAGCTACAGGCTGTTTAAAAAAGGAGATTCTTGAACGGAAAGAAACCAGCAGAGTAAGGCAAAACCAACTCAAAGTCCTCTTTAATATTAGGACATTGTATGACATCTCCCGAACTTGAATGTCCCTTTTAGGAAATGTTATACACTGCAGGATTTAGGCAAAGAAACCTCTCACTGTGGATACTGCTGAGATTAACTGCCACTAAGATTCAAAGAACTATTACACATAAAGAAAATTAATAGCAATTCCAGTGAAGGTGAGAACTGCTAAAACAGTTTGCTTTCTGGTATTATCATCACCAGTGGTATTATCATCACCAGTTGTAGGACAGGAAAAAGCATTGTTTTTCTCATACAGACTTTCTGTGTGTAGTCAAGAGCATGCTAGTTAAATAGAAACATATTTACCACTGGCTTTCAGTAAAATAATAGTGGAATTTAATTGCTGCTTATTACTGTATGGATTCCAGCACTATTAACACTAAGAAGGACTCAAGATGAAGCCACAACACTGTAATTCCACACAACAAAATGACAGAATGAAGTAAAAGCCCTCGTGGTTTACAACAGATTTTCTACAAAAGAAACATTTTATAAAAAGTAGTTCCAATAAACAAGTCACCACAGAATGTTTTCCTGTTGTGTTTTTCTACCTGTACATAGTTAAGAATATGAAAGATATAAGATTAATTTCAGATCTCTGCAAAATGTTCATTTTCATTCTCAAATTCTGATCATCTCCGGAAACAGGAAAGGAGAGGGGGAGGGGGAAG